CTTTTAAAAGAAGACTGCTGTGTCTTTATTCTTTTTATTTTTTTCTTCAATTTTTTTATTGATTTTCACAACATTATAAACAAACAAACACACACATAAAACAAACAAACATAAATCATAACCTTATTAAAAATTACACTTATTAACATTATTAAGTGACTTCCTCGCTTCCCCTTGGTTGAATTTCATTGCATGTCCTTTTAACGGTTTTCCAAATCATAGTTCTTAAAATAATTTAACTTAAACATTAACATCCTTAGATCTTCACATTATGAAATTAAACCTATTAATTCATCACTTAACTTAAATAAAATCCTAAGCCAATTAAGTATATGCAAGCTGTTTTCAGTTAATTTAACGTAACACGTTTAACTAAGTAATCATTAAATTTGATCCAATCTTCCTGATACTCCTCCTCCTTTATTCTTTTTAAGAGGGATAGAAGGGGAGTTTACCAGGATCAATCCCAATCTGGACAAGCCAGATTGGATTACTTAAGTAAAGAGATTCAAACAAATCGGAGCCAGAATCTAGTACTAAAAGAGTAATAGAACTGATTCAAGAATTTGGTCAGGTTGCAGGATTTAAGTTGAATAAGCTAAAAACTAAGGTTTTAGAGAAAAATTTAACAGCGATTGGGAGAGAGAGGTTTCAGAAGGAGACAGGATTAACACTGGTTAAGAAAGTGAAATATTTGGGGGTTAACATGACTGCTAAAAATGTGAATTTATTTAAGGATAACTATGAAAAATGTTGGACTGAAGTGAAAAAGATTTAGAAATATGGTCAAATTTGAAGCTTTCACTGCTAGGCCGTATCGCTGCGATAAAGATGAATGTATTGCCAAGAATGTTGTTTTTGTTTCAAACACTGCAAATTGTGGACAAAATGGACTGTTTCAAGAAGTGGCAGAGATACATTTCCAGATTTGTCTGGCAGGGCAAGAAGCCCAGAATAAAATTCAAAATACTAACGGATGCAAAAGAAAGAGGTGGATTTGCTCTGCCAGACCTTAAACTTTACTATGAATCAGCCGCATTTTGTTGGCTGAGAGAATGGCTGCTTCTTGAAAACACAGACATTTTGGACTTAGAAGGTTTTAACAATGTATTTGGGTGGCATGCATATTTGTGGTATGATAAGGTCAAAGCACATAAAGCATTTAAAAACCATATTGTCAGGAAAGCATTGTTTAATGTCTGGACAAGATATAAGGATCTACTTGAAAATAAAACTCCAAGGTGGTTGTCACCGATGGAAGCGAAGGCTCTGAAAAAGCTCAATATGGAGGCCAAATGGCCGAAATATTGGGAAATTCTGGAACAAGAGGGAGATAAATTGAAATTGCAGAGCTTTGAAAAGATTGGCTTCATTATTATCAAATAATGGAGGCATACAACCTGGACAAGAAAATTGGCATCCAGGTGGAAAAATCAAAATTGGAAACAGAACTGTTAGATCCTAAAGTTAAGAATTTGTCAAGAATGTATAACTTGCTGTTGAAATGGAATGCTCAAGATGAAACAGTGAAATCTGTTATGATTAAATGGGCACAAGATGTTGGACATAACATTATGATGGCTGACTGGGAACAGTTATGGACCACAGGTATGAAGTTCACGGCATGTAATGCCTTAAGAGAGAATATTATGAAAATGATATACAGGTGGTACATGACCCCAGTCAAGCTTGCAAAAATTTATCATTTGCCCGATAATAAATGTTGGAAATGCAAAGAAACTGAGGGTACATTCTTTCACCTTTGGTGGACGTGCCCAAGGATTAAGGCTTTCTGGGAGATGATCTATAATGAAATGAAAAAGGTATTTAAATATACCTTCCTGAAGAAACCAGAGGCCTTTCTCTTGGGCATAGTCGGCCAATTGGTGCCAAAGAAGGATAGAACTTTCTTTATGTATGCCGCAACAGCAGCAAGAATTCTTATCGCAAAGTACTGGAAGACACAAGATCTACCCACCCTGGAAGAATGGCAGATGAAGGTGATAGACTATATGGAACTGGCGGAAATGACTGGCAGAATCCGAGACCAGGGAGAAGAGTCAGTGGAAGAAGATTGGAAGAAATTTAAAGACTATCTACAGAAATACTGTAAAATTAATGAATGTTAGAATGATGTTGGAATGAAGCTAAGGGGTTTTTAGTAGCAATGCTACATACAGTTATTACATATTAAGACAAAGGTCTAAGATAAAAACAAAGAGGGAAAGGATTTGCTGAATTAACTTACTGAACTGGAATACAAAAAAGGGGAGGTGTGAGGTCAGGGAAACAAGTGAGTGAAAGACAAGATATGGAAAGATTGATTTGTTTTTAATTGTTTTTACTTTTTTGTATTTTGTATTCTCTTCTTTCTTTTTTTATTCTTTCTTATTATTACTATTGTAACTCCTTTTTTATTTTTGAAACTTTAATAAATATCTTATATAAAAAAAAGAGATTCAAACGAATCTACCAACTAGCTTCCTGCTATATACTGGGGAATATACTCTGCTACTAACTCACTAGAGTGAGTGGGGAAGGATAATATATTTAATTAATATATCCTCTCTAGTATCCACAACATTCCCACAGATTCTAGTTCTCTCTGAAGTTTTGTGTCTGTTGCCTTTTGACCTGTAATCATTTTTAACAAATGGCCCAGACACACAGATCTGGGTCTCCTAGCACTTGGTACTGAGCCAGGCACAACTAGGGTCAAACTTCATCTCATGATTGGTCACAAAGTACACCTGAGAGAAGGTATTACAACTCAATAGCAACAAAGGAACATACCGTATTTTTTGCTCTATAAGACTCACTTTTTCCCTCCTAAAAAGTAAGGGGAAATATGTGTGCATCTTATGGAGTGAATGCAGGCTGCGTAGCTATCCCAGAAGCCAGAATAGCAAGAGGGATTGCTGCTTTCACTGCATAGCGATCCCTCTTGCTGTTCTGACTTCTGAGATTCAGAATTTTTTCTCTCTTGTTTTCCTTCTCCAAAAACTAGGTGCGTCTTGTGGTCTGGTGCGTCTTATAGAGCAAAAAATACGGTATATCCACACACAGTTTGGGTGGCTCACTGAATGAATGGAGAAGAGGCAATAGGAGGTTAAACCCTCATGAACTTCAGCAGTTATCAATAGGGCTGTGAGGCAAATTTAAGCCAATCTCAAATTCTGGACTGAGGCAGGGTACTGTAGTTGAGATGGTTTATCGTCTTGTCAGAGGTAAACAAGGATCTGCCCAGTGTCCAAGCTGAAGTGGGTACCATATGAAGCACTTTGTGGTACCTAAGCAATTCGGGGGGGGGGGGTTGAAAGAAAAAAAAACCTGCAGCAAATGTCTGTGTGTACTGGGGGTGGGCTGGGGGAACAGCATGATGAGGGCACCCCTAAAGTCTGGTGTCAGTCCTGGGTATTGTGTCTCTTTTGTAGAGGTCGGGGGAAAACCTAAGCTCTTTATTTGTGAAATGGTACTACTGTATTAGTGATGGTCCTGTATTAGAAAGATCAGCAAGAAATACTGGTAAGGTTATGTGCACTACTGCCCTCTGCTGCAGAGAACTAGAACTGCTGGTCGTCATAGGAGAGGCTCCTTCTGCCCCAATCAAACGACAGGTCTCACCTCTTATTTCTAGTCCTGGAGGGCACCAGGTTTGTGAAGGCTGGTATGGGAGACGTCAAATTATATTCCTCAAACTTTGAAGGAAACACACAACTGGCAAACATAAGGGGCAGTATTATCGTGGCTAGAGTACAAGAACAGCATTCTCCTCCCCTTCAAGCCTCCCACCAGCCTCTTTGCTTCACAGCCGCATTCTTTGGGCTCTCCCTTCTTCAGCCGGATCTCAGTGAATGCAGTGTCAGACTGGAAGCGGAGAAGCAACAGTGCTAATCTGCTTCAGCAAAGGCAAAAAGGAATATTTTGAGACCTTAGACCAGCCTTTCTCAACTTTGGGTTCCCAGATGTTGGAGGACTACAACTCCCATCTTCCATAGCTAGCAAGACCAGTGGTCAGGGGTGATGGGAGCTGTGGTCCAACAACATCTGGGAACTTAAGGTCAAGAAAGCCTGCCTTAGACTAACACATTTACTGTAGTGTAAACCCTTGTGGAGTAGGGGACCCTCCAGATGGTGCTTTTTAAATGGGAACATTCTGCAACATGTCATTGACACAATAATGGTGGATTAAAAGTAAAGGTAAAGGAACCCCTGACCATTACGTCCAGTCATGACCGACTCTGGGGTTGCGGCGCTCATCTTGCTTTATTGGCCAAGAGAGCCGGCGTACAGCTTCCGGGTCATGTGGCCAGCATGACTAAGCCGCTTCTGGCAAACCAGAGCAGCGCACGGAAACGCCGTTTACCTTCCCGCCGGAGTGGTACCTATTTATCTACTTGCACTTTGATGTGCTTTCGAACTGCTAGGTTGGCAGGAGCAGGGACCGAGCAACGGGAGCTCACCCCGTCGCAGGGATTTGAACCGCCAACCTTCTGATCGGCAAGTCCTAGGCTCTGTGGTTTAACCCACAGCACCACCCACGTACCCTAATGGTGGATTAGTGGTGGATTTACCTGGATCGTCCGCACATCATTCCACTTTATTACTTGTTCTGTGATGCTCCTTCAATGCTGCCGCATTATTGCCACGTTGAGGGACATTCTTGTGCTATAGTGTAACAAATGCGGGGCTAGAAAAGCAAACAAACCCTGGAACATTTGGTGGTAGGAAAAGTTATAGGATTTCAGCAGGGAAACTACGGGACATGCACCAACTGCAAAAAAACTAGTGTGTCCACCTCAAACACTTTGCAGGTGCAAGCAATGTTAAAGCAGGGTTGCATATACCAATAGCATCATGAGCACAAATCACCAGAAATACGCAAGAGAAATAACAACTAAAGGACCCCCAGATTAGATGTGTGAAATCTTACCTCCAGCTGTCCGGTATATGTATGTGGGTGCATGTGTGCGTACACATATGCACAAAGAAGAGGACAGGGCATAGCTCAGTGGCAGAGCACCTACTTTGCATGTAGAAGACTCCAGGTTCAATCCAGGTGGAGTTGGCAATGTCCCCTTCCTAAAACGCTAGGGAGATGCCACCAGTCAGTGTAGACAATGCTAGGCTAGATGGACCAGTGGTCTGATTCAGGATAAGGCAGCTTCCTATGTTCATCCCTTATGAATACAGAGGGCGGAAGTTGCAAACAATGACATGCAATGGGTAGCTATAGGTCTTCCATGTTTCTATGCTGAGCCAAATTAACACAGCTGCCACCTCCGCATTATCTGGAGAGGAGGGGTCTTGATTCGTTGTCTGCAGGCGGGAAAAGCGAGATGAAGCGAAGAGCTGTGCCCGAGCGACAGAACTGAGGATTGTGTGTTGAAAGCAGCCTTTGATCTCCAGCTGCCCATTGCTGTGACCACATTGGGTCGTGGCCTCTCTGATCGTAGAAACATTGCGACGCCTCTTTGCCGGAGACTTTAAACGCAACGTAGGAAAGGGGCCAAGCTGCATCCACGCATCCTCAGAAGCTCCGCATTCATATTCCACCGGCGGATGTGCTGCTGCAGGGCAGGAAGCCCGAAGACACTTTCTTCCTTTCAAATCCAGGCAATACATTAATTGCTTTCTTAAAGCTGGCACTCTCCCAGTACAATTAAGATTCTAATAGATCAACAATTACAGTCATGCACTGTGGGGAAGGATTAAATTGATCCCTGTTAACCCCAAGGCTCTGAACTGCATCAAGTTTTAACATCTCTGCTGCTTTCTTGTTAATAGCATGAAAGAGCCTCTGCCTTTGCAGTGGGCAGCGGCTGAGGATAGAGAGCTCCTACTTCAGTCACTCTCATCCATCCTGCAAAGTGCAAAATGCCCTCTCTCCCAGAGCTGTGAGTGTTTAGCACATTCCGAATGTCATCTGAGCTCTCTAGGTTCACGTGCATAAACATGGGGGGGGGGGGGGATTCAGTTGATTCTAACATCCATTTAGCACGGGACTCGTCTTGAAGACTGGATTAACTGCTATTCAAAGTAAAGTAGAACCCTGCCACTGCTATAACCCTTTGGGAATTGCAAGTGGTGGCTGTTTAATTGGGCTTACATTAAGTTATTGTAATGCTGGTTTTTACTGTGATTAATTGCATTTGTAAAAGTGCTGGATGTAGATCTGTTTTTAAACTTCTACTAAGGTGCTTTGAGGAGGATATCACCAAAAAGCAAGGCAGCCATTTCTTCAATAAATAGTCTTTCCTAAGCCCAGAGCAGGGGCCTAGAGCTATGGCCCCTCCCACACCACATTCTATCCTTGACTAAAAAGTATAAAAATGAATTTATTCTGGCATGGGTGGACTAGAGTCCACTTCCATCCGTTATACCCACAGAAGCTTGCGCTATAGGAGAAATTGGTTCGGCCATATCCAAACCACACATTTAAAGCAGTATCACATAACTTTAAACAGCTGTGGCTTCCCTCAAAGAATCCTGGAAACTGTAGTTTGTTAGGGTTATTCCAGTACATTTCTGAGCACAATTCAAAGTGTTGGTGCTGACTTTTAAAGCCCTAAATGGCCTCAGCCCGATATACCTGAAGGAGCATCTCCACCCCCATCTTTTAACCCAGACACTGAGGTCCAGCACCTTCTGGTGGTTCCCTCATTGTGAAGCTACAGGGAGTGAAGCTACAGGGAACCAGGCAGAGGGCCTTCTCAGTAGTGGCACCCACCCTGTCGATTGCCCTCCCATCAGATATAAAGGAGATGAGTAATTATATAACATTTAGGAAACATCTGAATGCAGTCCTGTATAGGGAAGCTTTTTAAGGTTTAATGTTTTAGTATGTGTTTATATATGCTGAAAGCCACCCAGAGTGGATGAGGCAGCCCAGTCAGATGGGTGGGGTATAAAGAAATTATTATTATTAGGGCTGAGAGTTGTTATTCCCCTGACAAAGTGACAATTCTCAGAATCATTTAACAATCTATCCCTCTTCCCAGAGAACTCTGGGGATAATCCACCCAATACATGATAGTAGAGTTGGGGTCCTATCACCAGCCTCATAGAAACAGGATGCTGGACTAGGTGGGACTCTGGTTTGATTTAGCAGGGTAGTTCCTAGATATAAGATACCAGTAGAACAGTCACCTGTTTCCCTGAGGTTATTCTCCCATCAGGAGATCATTGCATGGGCATAGTGGCAGAGTGGAGGAGACACTGTTGCTGGAACAAAACATCCCAGAAACAAAAACAAAAATGACCCCAGCTACTCTGCCCTAAAATGTTCTTTGGACTCCTCCAGACAACCTATTTAACTGCTCAAACTAAATGTTTGGTATGCACTTGAATCCACCTGTCCAGAGGTAATGTTTGCAGTGCAGATGTGGCCTCTCAAAATTATCCACTAGGGGACCATTTCATCAAATTTCTCAGGGCGGGGGATTCTCCACAGTTTCTGGTGGTTGTGGGTCTCAGCGGTAGTAGTTACAATACCACAGCTTCTTCCTTCCTTCCTTCCTTCCTTTCCCAAAGTGTGTGTGTATTGCAACTGCAATAATCATCAGCAACAAGTATTTTCTCCAGTCTGGCCAACATTTTGCACACTCCATGACGATTCAGTCTCAACATCATTCTGTGACATTTTTGGGAGGGAAATAGTGGCTGTCATTTTTTAAAAAAAACTTGGATAATATTTGGAGAAAATTCTGAAGAATGGCTTCTTCTTTTTAGAAGCAGTAGGAACTGGGGAAGAAAAAGAAAAATCCATTTTTTCTCTCTCTCTGAAAAATATCTTCGGAGAACCTTCAGCTCAGCTATTTTTGAAATAGCGGACTTGAGGCAAACAACAGCAGGGTGAATGCCTGTGAATTTCTCCCATTAAAGTGCTTTTTTTACAAGGCCGCACGGGAAGCCATTCAAAATAATTGTGGAGTGCAGAGGGAGGGAAATGTTGTGAAGGGCCCTCAATGAGAGTTATTGAACTGAACCTGCTGGCAAATGATGTAAACACCTGAAGGGGCAGATTGAAAATGCCAAGTGCCCCAGCTGGAAAGCCTGTGGTGGGTGCTGGTGCCCTGAAGTGAACCTGAATCCTCTTCAAAGCTTTTTGAAGACAAGCAGGAGAGGCTGGGTGTTTTAAACGGTCTTTAATTTTATAAAGTGTGTTTGTGTGTTGGGGGTGTGTGTAATTCAGTATTCAATGGTGAAATGAAAGCAAGAGGACAGCAGCAAAATAGGTTTAAATCCTGACTCTGCTCAACTTCCAGAAAGAGACTGGGATCCAGTCCAAAACATAGTGTTGTATTCAGAATCTCCGAGTGGTATAAGATTTCAGGGGTTCCAGGCTTTGTGCTTCCTTCGGAATGAGGCACAGCAGAGACCGTGGTGTCTTTATGATACGTGGTTTATTTACACACACGTATATAACCTGAGTCCACGGTGGAGGGCTTCACAGCGATAATATCCCAAGAGGGTCTTGCTTCCCCCATAGCCGCAGCCTTGGATTCAAATAGAAATCAAACATCACTGTGCCTCTCTCATTTCCCAGTTTGCTGCTTTGCTTCTAGCTCCCAGCAATCCAAACTCTCTGCTCTCAACTCTGGGTTTGTCCTTCTAACTATCTATTAGTTGGGGGAGGGAGCCCTACCCATTTCCCATTTCGCACAGAGTTCCTTTCTTTGTTCTCCTAATGGCCTAGCCTATCTCCTCAATGGGAAGCTAGTCTGGCTATTCCAAGAATTAAAAAAAGGGGTGGGGTTCAGGTATTAGAAGGGTCTTGGCATACAGCCTACTCTTCCCACCCACCCCAACTCATAACAATACTTGAAACTATAAATGAACACAGGCAACCATTTACCAAGTGATATGCAGGGACATAGGGCCCTTCCAGGTTACTGAGCATTCAACCCAATTTGTTTGCAGGGATGTTAGATGGTGTTGCATCAAAGCAAATGCTATCCCACACTTTCCAGTGTGTTTTGTCATCACCCTCCTTATCACAAACATTCAAGTCTTCTGAGGAAGTGGGTTTGCTGTGCAAGACCTCCTTGTCAACTATCCTTGTGCAACCTAAATTTGCAAAACTTAATTGAATCCCACTTCAAAATAGCAACAATCTGGAAGTGCCCCTGTTCGTTTGCAGCATCTATCTCAGCTGATGAGGATAGTTTTGCCTGACATCCATGCCCAATCTGAAAACCAGGGAACAATGGCACAGTAAAATCCTTCTCACAATACAGGCAGAGTCTGCAAATGATTTGCTCACACTATGGTTCTATGCCCACTTTGCATGTTTCCATTTGGAATAAAGGTAAAGGTAAAGGGACCCTGACCATTAGGTCCAGTCGTGACCGACTCTGGGGTTGTGGCGCTCATCTTGCTTTATTGGCCAAGGGAGCTGGCGTGCAGCTTCCGGGTCATGTGGCCAGCATGACTAAGCCGCTTCTGGCGAACCAGAGCAGCGCATGGAAACGCCGTTTACCTTCCTGCCGGAGCGGTACCTATTTATCTACTTGCACTTTGACGTGCTTTTGAACTGCTAGGTTGGCAGGAGGAGGGACCGAGTGTTGGGTTGAAATCACGACAGACGAATGGTGGGTGTCAAAGGAGAGGCGTCTGCCCGGGGCAAGTCCCGGGAACTCTCTTTTATTGAATATTACAAACATTGCCACAGGTGTGCTTGTGGCTGATTGGCTGATACAAACACAAAGCATCTTGTTGCTGATTGGTTAACATAGGTACAAGGCGGGAATAACATATGACATCAATCAGTGATAGTTCAAAAGACTGGGAACGGAGCTGGAACTAGACAGGCATGAAACCTCCTAATTAAATTATAACTAAAGATTGATATTGAGAGAACATAACATGAAGGAATACAACAATCACGTTCCGTAAATGTGGTCAGCAATGCATTAAGAACAGGTCAGGATACACTGTTTCATGAACTCAATGGGAACTGTTCAGAACATTCTCAGACTCTTGTGCAGAAGCAGAGAGAAGATTATGAGCGAGACTTCCCAGAATCCAAGAGGAAAGAAGCAAGAGTTCTCATAGTAAGCATAGAAAGATTTCATAGTAAGACTTCCCACAATGCCACAGTTATGTGCAGTAAGAGAACTGCAGAAAGAGAACTTCACAGTGAGAGAACTGCAGAAAGAAAACTTCCCTTCATCTCCCCCTTTCTTTTCTTGTTTGCGAGGCATTCCAGGTGGATAAGGCAGAAATACTTCGGGATTAGTGGTGTGCCAGCGAATGCCCGAAATAAGCCTGCCAGGGTCGATGGGACAAAAATACTTCAGGATACGTGGTTTGCCAGCGCATGCCCAAAATAAATCCGCCCACATCTCCCCTAAGGTTTACTGTTGGTGTTGCCATTTCGCAATGTAAGCAGCAAGGAGTTTACTGGGTGGTGGAGGGGGGGAGAGAAGCCGAGAGAAAAGACTCATGAAGCTAGGAACGCATTGAAGGAAAAAGCATAGTAACAATAGCATATTGAAAAAGATTACGAAGCCAAGTAAGGTTTGGCAACCAAGCGGTAAGCCACTGGGTGAAAGAATCCCAGAGGCCAGGAAAACCAATGTCCTGTTTAATGTGATGTGTAAGATTTTGCAAATGAGAGATTTGGCTTTGAATGGCTCTTGAATTGTCAGTAATATTGAAACAACACATGTCATTCACTTGTTCACAGCCATAATGATGAAGCATCAGCAAATAGTGATAGCAGCACGATTTCGTAAAAGTCCATTATATAAAAGTCCATTATAAAGGTCCACTCTGTTCTTTATTCAAAAGGTGAAGGGCTTGTGAAGTAAAATTCAGGGCTTTTGCTAAAGAATTAATGTTCATACGATTCCGTACAGCCAATCCAGGGACTCCTAAGAGAGAAGCAACTAAAGAGATATATTCAAACCTACTGAGAAGAGAGACAAAAGCATCACAATCATTAGTCATTTCAATATTGCAGCGATAAAATGATGGACAAACGGCTTAAACAGCAAGGTGTGCCATGGCTGATGTATGCTGGAATGTAATTAAACATATAGCCAGGACACGACCAGAAGATTTCCAGTTGAGGGGAAGTGCAAGCTTACTCATTAAATTGAATGGTAGCTTGTAATTGTTGTAGCAAGTCTCTTCCCCACAGATTGAGGTGGATTTTCAGCACACAGGGCTGGATGTAAGCAATGGTCTCAGAGCTATCAGGCAGAGAAACAGGCAGCCACTGTACGCTTTTGGAAGAGGTTTGGGGGCCACCCACACCCCAGACTGCAGAGGCAGACTCAAGGGGCCACGTGGGGTCCCAGCAACTACTAGAAATTACAGAAACATCTGCGCCTGTGTCAATCAAGCCTTCCAGCACAATACCATTGATTTTATACTTTTGAAGAAGTTTCTTCTCACCAATCCTCTGGACTACAGCTAACAGCTGTGGAGGGAAAGAAGAGAGCTCGTGCAAATTAGTATCCATAATAGAAGCAGTAGGATGAGAAGGGAGCACCACCAAATGCGCCCAAGACTCACCCTTTTTAATTGCATGGGCATATGGCTCCCGAGGTGACCCATTATTGTGCCTACATAGTCAGGATCCAGAACTCCAGGAATAACCTGGATTCCTTCCTTTACCGCAGAAAATTTGGGTAAAATTAAACCTGCGACTTTAGGAGGCAGGGGACCTGCCAATTGAGTGGGCATAAGCACAATTTCACCAGGTAGAACAGAGTCTTTGGTCTCTTGATTGATCAAATCAATGGCAAAATCAGAAGGTTTAGCCTTAGAGGCAGCACCATCCTTGTGTGCCCCCCCGCCAGGGGCTCTGCATTGCTTGGCAAAATGGCCTGGGCGCTTGCAATTAAAGCAGTTACCAGTAGGCTTAGAGGTTGCTTGGATTGCGCCGGCAAGCAAGGACATCGCATGGCTCTGGCTACCGACATCCGCACAAGCTTGAATCATATCGGCCAGTTCATATTTAGGGCGATGTATGATTGACTGCAAAGCTTTCTTGCAATCAGTGTTTGCGTTTTCAAAGGTCAATTTTTTCATCAATTCATTTTGAGCAGTGGTGTTATCAATCTGCCTAGTGACTGATTCTTTCAATCTATCTATAAACTGATGGTATGGCTCCGAATGCTGTTGCTTAATATTTACAAAGGAGCTCAGCGGTTGCCCAGAAACAGGGACTTTCCGAAGGCGCGTTGTACACAGGTAGCGGTGCGAACAAAATGTACAGGTGTCAGTGTTGCTTGGGCAGTTATATCAGCAAACTGACCAGCACCATAAAGTTCATTGGCAGTATGTTGAGGATCAGACAGGGCTGAAGCGCTATGTTTAAATTCACTCTCAAACACCACATACTGAGCAGGGGACAAAAGCATGCGCATCAGGTCTTTCCAGTCCTGAGGTAGCATAATGTAACCAGTTGCTATGCCTTCTAGCATCCCTGTCACATAAGAGGATTTCAGACCAGAATCAGCAATGGCTTTCCTTAATTCCCTCATTACTTCCCTTCAACCAAGCAACGGGAGCTCACCCCGTCGCGGGGATTCGAACCGCCAACCTTCTGATCGGCAAGTCCTAGGCTCTGTGGTTTAACCCACCCCGCCACCCGCGTCCACTTGGAAGATGCTCACCTATTTGTGGGCTCATTGAATCCAACAGACTATTGCTTAAGAACACCACACAGATGACACAACTGCAAACTCTAGAAAAAACCTGGGCCCTCCAGAATTTGATGGACGCCAATGCCCATCAGTTCCATGGGCAATGGCCTGGAATTATGGGAGTTTCAGTCTCCAATAATACAAAAACAGAGGAAGCTTCCTTATATACTGAATCAAATCATTGGTCCATCTAACTAGTTATTGGCTACACTGACTGGTAGCGGCTCTCCAGGATCTCAAGCAAAACTCTCCCAGCCTGACCTGGAGATGTTGAGGATTGAACCCAATACCTTCTGCAGGAAAAGCAGATGCTCTACTGCTGGGCTACAGCCCTTCTGGAGAGCCACAACTCAGAGGTTGCCAAATAGACAAGCTGTGGCTAAGTGGGCAGAATGGCAGGAATTGATTCTTTCTTGGGTCACATGTGGGTGTCTATCTGCTTCTGTCTGCTTTTTAAAAAAATCTAATGGATAGTATTTTTATTTTTGATGCACTGGCTCTCAGAAATTGTTGCGAGTCAAGATCTGCTGCCTGAACCACTATCTTCTTTTTCCATAGGTAAGTGATTGTCTTGGAAGGGCTGTTTGGAGCTGCTGTTTGTCAGGACCTTCGACCCAGACGACTATCAGCTCTTCTGGCATACAGCAGTAACATATGAAAATGGCAAAGACTCTGGTGGCATGAAGGGCTTGACATGTAGTGGTTTGTGTGCTGTTTGCTTTTACTGAGTGGCTGTTATAAATTGTTACTTGTGGAGATTTTGTACCTCTTTTTAGGGGATAGTATAAATGGATAAGATGTGCTCATGACAGAGTGATTTTCAGAAATTGCTACTTGTCAGAGCCCTTCTCCAGTATACCTGAAGGAGCGTCTCCACCCCCATCATTCTGCCCAGACACTGTGGTCCAGCGCCGAGGGCCTTCTGGCAGTTCTTTCATTGCGAGAAGCAAAGCTACAGGGAACCAGGCAGAGGGCCTTCTCGGTAGTGGTGCCCGCCCTGTGGAACGCCCTCCCATCAGATGTCAAAGAGATAAACAACTATCTGACATTCAGAAGACATCTTAAGGCAGCCTGTTCAGGAAAGTTTTTAATGTGTGACATCTTAGTGTATTTTTGGTCTTTGTGGAAGCTGCCCAGAGTGGCTGGGGAAACCCAGCCAGATGGGTGGGGTACAAATAAATAATTGTTGTTGTTGTTGTTGTTGTTATTATTATTATCCTGAACAGCTGTCTGCTTCTTTGGCCAAGAGTAGCACAGAATCATAGACTCATAGAAATGTAGAAGCAACCACCAGGGTCATTCAGCCCAACACAATGCAATGAAGGAATATTTTGGTCAATGTGGGGCTCAAAGCCATGACCCTAAGTTTAAGAGTCTCATGCTCTACCAACTGAGCTACTAAACTGGATAGACAATGTTTGGAGCAGACCCAAAGGTGGCCTGGATTGTTGGTAGGCTTGAGGGAAGAAATTAAGTTCATGTTTGGAGATAAACCTACTTGATGCACACTTTCCAAAGCAATACATGAACCAAAAGGCAGGCATCTTTTGAAACTTGCACTTCTCTGAATTTTGCATAGTAGTTATCAAAATGTTTGCAGGGAGGATGGAAGCTGAATAGGGAAAACATGGGTGGAGCATGTTTTGATCATGATGTCATGATGATGCCCTGTTAAAAAATGTGAGTGAACAAAGCACAGCTATTCAATAGTTAAAAACATCCAGTACTGCAGCAGCCACAGTTCCCCCGCTATTTCTTAACCCTGTGATGAATCATCAGCCAAATAGCTAACCATTCTGGAAAATAAAGAGAGTGGCTTGTGTAACATAGCATATGCTTTATAGTATCATAGGCAGAAATGAATTTGTTTGGAGAGAAAGTCTGTAGTTGTGAACGGATTTTCTCATTTCTTTTTGCAGACTCAAATTGCCCTGATGTGCAGCCGCATTTGGGGCAGACAACTTTTGGCTAGAAACATACTTCATATTTCCAGTGCGGATCTTCCTCCCGGGCTGCATTGTTGTAAATCAAACAGCAGAGAAAATAAAATTTAATTAACTAATATCGGGTGCAACAGCTAAACAAACCATGTCTTCAAACAATCATAGGAAGCTGGTTAATTACTCTTGGCCTCATCTTCTGAGGACACCTTCAAAACATAAGCAATTCCAAACATATCCACTAAGGAGAAGCACGTTTAGGGATTAATATTTATTATTTCAAAAGTTAAGAGTCCAACAGCTGCAGTTCCACCATGTTGACACCTCTAAGACTATTGGAAAACACAAACTCAGAACTCAAAAAGCAGGTAAGAGTGGTTGTGGCTGTACTGCCAGAGACAGGGGTTTGTGCTGCAAAACCTTTAACAGTACCTACCCAGTATTTAATAACTCTGCAGGGGCAGACAATGTGCTGCTCTCCAGATGTTTTTGGAGTCCAACTCCCATCAATGACAGCTAGCATGCCTAATGGACAGGAATGAGTGTACAGTGGTACCTCGGTTGTTGAACTTAATTCGTTCCGGAAGTCTGTTTGACTTCTGGAACTGTTTGAAAACCAAGGCGCAGCTTCCGATTGGCTGCAAGAGCTTCCTGCACTCAATCGGAAGCCTCAGAAGCCCTGTCAGAAGTTTGGGTTCCAAAGAACGTTCGCAAATCAGAACACTTATTTCCGGGTTTGCAGTGTTTGGGATCGGATTTGTTCAGGAACCAAGCTGTTTGACAACCAAGGTACCACTGTAATCCAAAAAATTATTGAGACCACCATATCTGTTACCTCTGAAACACAATAACTGGGGAGGGTGACATTGGCATAACAATGAATTAATATGTAGGACCATTCATCATGGTTGTGTCAGTATTTGCTAATAAAAATCTGGAAATACAGAGGTGATGTGGGATAAATGAAAATCTGACTACTTTTTACCAACTACTATTGAATATGAAAACATAAGAGGATGGCTTTTCAAAGATTTATTACAGTTTGATATTGGTCGTTTTCAGGGATGACAAATACTGAAGACAATGGGAAAAGGCTTTATTAACTAGGTAGGGAACAGCGAAGACATTTGTGAGTTGTAAGCACTGTTTTGTAGAAAATGTCGATAAGATTCTACTTTAGTGGTGTGGTACTATAAACTGACTAGAATAAGGGAAATGTATAGTTGACACTGGCAGTATACAGATGCCAGCATATGACGGCAATGTAATGTTTTCAGCAGACTGTCTTAACAGCCAAGAAATTGCAGGTGATGTTGTTATATTTAGTCTGCAGGGATGTTATTTAATGACCTAAGAAATTGGGTAAGTAAAGAACACAGCAGATTGCTTGACAATTTATTTGTAGATGCCAAAATTTTAAGAGATAAAAACCAGGAGCGTAATAAGAGGCCATTGATTGAGGAAAGGTTTAGATAAAAGAATGTGGAATGTGATGCTAATGAGTAAATTAACAGCCATAATCAGATTTAGGAAGTAGGAAATGATAGCTGGAATATAAAAAAGCTCAGGAAAGTATAGGGTTACAATGGATATCAGTGATACAAATTCCAATTGTACCTCTAGTCTTTTAGTTAAAGATATATATATATTTGGTAAACTTTAAATGAGGTCAAATAATGCATTTTCAAAGTAGCTTAGGTACCTCTTATCACTGGGCAAAGAAATATGTACTTAATTTGAACCTAATATTAGAGCATATCTTCAAAGTAGATTAGTTTGACCAGTAGGACAATTTGGTCAGTGACTGATCTAACACATTTGCTGGTATATCCTAAGCTTTGAAATTTTGAGCATTCTAATATCTGGTAGATTTACTGTTACAGACTAACATGACTACCCTTTGGAAGTTGCACTAATTTGAGCTTGCTGCATGTATAAACAGTGCTGGTCCTACCTGTGGCACAGTCCTCCTCTATCCTGTTCTAGCCCGTCCCTTTGAGATAACCCAGTTTCTCTGGTCCTCTGTTATGTATAAATGAGGTCAGATCTCTCCTCTACCAGACTGGAATACACAGGATGCAGATTTCTCTGGACCACTCCAGCCGTAGTTAACTTTCTGATGACCTCCATCTCTCTCTCATTGACACCTGGATCACTTCATCCTCTAGCCCCACAAAATGGTGTTACAGCCAGGATAGGTGTAAGTGCTGTGATTGGCTGCTCAGAGCCACCTGTCAATCAGAGGTCACCTGGGTCAAAAGCCCTTAAAAATAGAATGCTGCCTACATGACTTTGTCCCTCATCCTCCATCCAGATTGCCATGATACTCATGTTGAGACCAGAAGCTTATCTGTAAGTAGCTGCATAAAGCAGACAGACTTGAAGTGTTTCTTTATTTTCTTACATGCACCATTTTGGCTTTTCCCTTTTGCTCTCTTAAATCTTACTCTTAATAAATTCTTAAAATTTGCTGCTGGGGTTTGATGTGCATTTGTGACAAGTGGTTTTCTTCCCCCCACTGCGCCTTGATCCTTGGGACCCACACTAGTCATTTAGGTCTATGGAGAACTGGAGAAGAGAAAGCTGCCCTGCTCCCCAAAGAGGGAGAGGTGTCAGACTGGATGCTCTCTCATCTCCCTGACTAAGGTCACCTCGAGAATTGTCCTTGTCTCAAGGCTGGAGGGAAAAGGAAAGGCTGATGGCAGCATCCCTCATATTTGGAAAGATGGGTTACGCCTGTTCCTGGCAGGGGAAGTGTGAGCTCTTGGGATCTCTGCTGCACTATCATTTGGAAATGTGAGATGGTTGCCTTAGACAACAGATTATTGGAGGGCAGTAGTAGAAACTTCTTGGCTGTTCCTCTTATGCTGCCCTCCATTCAGTTCTGTTCCCCTTAAACAACTGGCTGCCTTGGGTGTAGTGGAAGATACTAGCCCAGGCATAGGCAAACTCGGCCCTACAGATGCTTTGGGACTACAACTCCCATGATCCCTAGCTAACAGGACCAGTGGTCAGGGATGATGGGAATTGTAGTCCCAAAACATCTGGAGAGCCGAGTTTGCCTATGCCTGTACTAGCCCATCTCTAGTCCTGACGTTAGGCTGTGTACACACCATACATTTAAAGCACATGGTTTACCCCAAACAATCCTGGGATTTTAGCATGCCCCTAACAGAACTACAATTCCTACACCCTAAACAAACTAAAGTTCCCCGGGTTCTTTGAAGGGACTGGTGTGTGCACAGTCTAACTGGCCTTCCAAAGCCAGCTCCACCACAGTTAACTTCTCAGGTGGCTGATGCTGGGGCCAGGAGGCTCCTCTATCGGAAGACTAATCTAGCTGTGCCACGCAGCTTATCCTGCACCCCCTAAACTAGCCTGCTGCCCTCAG